CTGCTGTCATCCAGGCCATGTCAATTCTGGACCACGATTGATGCGGGTTTGAGTAGAATGTAAATTGTAGTTTATCGTAGTTAATTTCCCTCCAGGCGTCCTTTAATTGAAACTCTTGTGCCATATCGTAGAATGTCTCCGGGACTATTTTCTTCCTAGATTTATTTCGTTTGCTGGTCTGATAGTCTTTCTCTGTATTTACAATTGCATTGTAGTCTCCAATGAGACATATGTTTGAGTAGTCCAGTTCTTTGATTCTATTGTGGATCCTTTTGAAGTAATCACTTTGTGTTTCGTTCGGTGCATAGAGTGACACTAGTAAAAAAAATTTTGTTCCTGTTTTGATTTCGACCATCAGCATCCTGCCCTCCTCATCAGCGTATATTTGCTTTGCTTGTATATGGTTTTGAATATACATTGCTATACCTTTCTTTTTTTGTTCAGATAATGCTGTGTAAAGTGTTCCTAGATGTTTATTTTCTAATAATCTACGTTGTTGATTCTTGATATGAACTTCTTGTAGTGTGATAATGTCCATATTCAATTTTTGTAAATTCCTGAATGTGTGTGATCTCTTAGATGGAGTGTTGAGGCCATTTATGTTTATTGATATTAATCTTATTTCTTTCTCCATACCAATCTTCTATCTCCTTGTTGTCCTGAGTTTCCTAGTGTTTTTTCCAGTAGTTCATATTTTTTCCCTTGCCCCCTCTCTTTCCATCCTTTCTTTCTCTCCTCTTGTTCTTCCTTCCCGCTGAACTTCTTCCAAATGGTCCTCCTGATTTGCAGATTCTCGCTGTGTTTCGGATTCTTGTTTCTCTTCTAAGACGAAATTGCTGTCAAAAAACTGTTGCGCCTTCTGTAGCGTATCAAGTCTATGTTTTTTGTCTTGCCAAGATACAAGAATTCCCTCAGGTGTTAACCAGCGGAACATTATTTTGTGGTTATTTAATTCTGTTGTCAAAAAGCTGTAATTTTTTCTTGTTTCTCTTATTCTTCTTGGTATTTGTTTTAGTGTAATTATTTCTTTGCCCTTATAGGTAACTGGTTCCTCTCTCATTATTTTGTATATTTCCTCTTTCACAGATTTTCTTGCAAACCGAATGTGGATCTCTTTAGGTAACTTATTCCTTCGGGCATAATTGGTAAATACCCTATAGACTTCATCAATTTCCAAATTTATTTCTTCCTTATTCTTTTGGGTTGCCTCTGCTAGAATTCCCACCATCAAGTCTCTAAGATCTTCTTCTTTGGTTTCCACGATATTTTGAAATCTTAAATAAAATGACGCCTTTTCCATCTCTAAGAATGAAATTGAGTCTTCCAGTTCTTTATTTGTTGTTATCTGGTCACTTTCTAGATCCTCCAGTTTCTTCTCTGCTTGCTCCATCTTTACTTCAATGTTTTGAATTCATTGTTCGTTCTTGGCGATGTTTTGCTGAATTTTCTTCATTTTATCATCCTTTTTTTTTAGGTTGTCCTTTATTTCTGTTACATCCAACTTCAATTCTTCATGGTTTTTCTTGCTTTCTTGATGGTTATTGGCAATTGATTCCTGTGTTCTGTTCATCCCCTCTTGTATCGTTGCTAGTATTGAGTGTATATTTTGGATGTTAACTGATTGGGGAGTTTTCTCCTTTTCTGCCAATAACATTGTATCTATCGTTTTCTGTTGTGCAGGTGATGCAATAGACGATGTTTGGCTGGTGACTATTCTTTTACTAGTTTTAGTCATTGCGGATGGGCTGGTAGTTGTCATCTTGATTCTCTGGTTTAGCAATTCCCAAATTTTCATTCACAGTCTATATTGTATAGTGGAATTTCTCTTCTGTTAGTAGCAGGAGCCAATTTCTGTTATTCCAATTTCAAATCCACTCTAGTTCCTCAAATTTGGCTAATATCGTTATATAAGGGATTGATTTAGTCTTTAACAGGGAGTAGGGAAAAAATACGACGTTTCAGCAGGTCATTTTCAATTACTATATTAAATATTCTATTTCAATATTCTATTAACCTTATTTAATTCTATTAAATTCTTAATTATATCTCTATTAACTCTATTAATTCTATTAACTCTTACCAACCTCAATTCCTCACTTAAATAATATAATTAATTATAAATACGATAATAGAATAATATATCAATCACTTTATCTAATGCTAAATTATAGCACAAAAGCAATCAAAGAAATATGAAGAAGGTACAAGTAAACTATTTGTTATAATATTATTCTTATTCAAAATCTATGTTTCAATCAAATTACTTTCTTAATTTATATTCCACTTCCTCTTACTTTGCTTAAATTCTATATTTTAAGCTTCAGCTTAAAACATTTCAAAACTATATGTTATATATACTATAATCTTCTGTATAATATACTATTATACTATTATAATATACTATTATACTTTTATATACTATATTATACTATATACTCTTATTATACTCTTATTATACTATAAATTAAAGTATTAAGTATTGCAAATAGAGAAATTTAAAACAAGTTAGAAAAGGTTTGATTGAATTAAGTCTTAAACGTTATATTTAGTTCCTGGATTATAAACGTTGCAATCCACACTCAATGTTGCATCATTCAAGCAGTTCGTCCTGTGATTTTTATCAAAATCTTCCGTGTATCTCCCAAGGATATTACTACTATAGCTCCAAAACTGCAGTATCTTTTAGAATGTTGTCTCTTTGCCGTTGATACAAAGTCTCAAAGTTCCTTCCGATCGCTCTCAACGTTAATTACTATCTGTTCTCTGTTCTCTGTCTCTCTCACCTCAGCTCCACTTCCATTTATAATAAATCCAACACTCGATCTTGTGTTCCTTCGCAAATCAATTAGTCCTTGCCAATTCCAAATCCAAGCCCCAGTCAATTTCGTAATGATATATTTGATATTCGATCCACAACTCTCCAGTATCTCTTTAAATCCACCTTAAATCTGTTGTCTGTCAGCTCTGCTTAGTCACCCTCTGGTTGGTCTCGCTGATTTGCTCTGTTTACTTTCACTTTGCCGCTTCCTTATGGCTCAGCCTCGCCGATCTGTTTGGAGTCTCTCTCTTAATTATACTTGCATCAATGTATGTATGTACCTTTCACAGTCTTGTTCTTTGTTAATTTGGTGATGTCTTTATTCGATCTTCGCTTCCATATCTGAGACGGCAATCAGCGTTCCAGCCAGCCCAGGGAGGGCTGGGTTTTTTTTGGTCGGAATTAAGGGGTTTTCTCTGAACCTTCGGGGCGATTGCTGTCACCTCCGAGGTCCTCAGGATTTCCCCTTTAATCTATTGACCTCTTCGTGGTCAATAGTGCCAAAAAAGTGGCTCCCAGATTGAAAATTGGAATTTAGGGAACGGAGCGCTGTCCCCTTAGTCCCTGTTACGCTGGCATCACCGGCGGAAGTCCTGAATAGGTCATTTTCTAATTGAAGCACCATGGTCAGCTCTGCAAATCAGTTCTGAAACTATAATTAAAGGGAATTCCAAGTGATATCTGTGTGGTATCTATAAATGTCAAAAAACCATGTATTTTTACTCTTTAAGGCTAATTTCATATCTACACAATTATGCTTTTATGTAGTCTCTTCAATACAATATAGCATAATTCAAAGTTATCTTCTTATAATGGCAAGTTGCAGTAATATAATTATAAACATAATTAGGGAAGAAACCTGTGCACACAATAACCACTTCAGGTGTTTGGTACAGATCCCGAACACCTAGGTTTGGTCCAAACAGGCATGTTCTGGCATGTAGAGAATGGGAAAAATGCAATGTTATCTGTGATAATAGCTAAAGGGGAAGGAGGAAAACAGCACAGGAAAATCAGGAACAAGAGTGGACCACTGCTGTGTCCTTGAATTAAAAAAGCAAATCTTCTTTACCTTTCCCATATTATTTCCACCACTTTCCTTTCTTCACTTTAACCACAGCCATGTGCCACCTTTGAATTTAAGTTAAGGATCTATTAACACAATACAAGTAAGAATCCTATAGTTGAAAGATGCCATTAATAGAAGTGATTGTCTTCTGTCTATTCAAAGATACAATTCCACATTATCCCCATTGTAGTTTAATTTCAGTGCTTATATTTCTCTTCTGATGATGTATCTTTTTTACTTACTGCACCTTGAAGGAGAGGAAGTCTTAGTTGTTGACAAAATTGACATCTGTCTCCTGTGAAATTTAGCTCTAAACCTAACTTCTCTACTCCTTTGCCTTTACACATTGACACACCTACCTTGTATATTTTGCAGTATGCATTCAAACAAAATCACGAGCAAGTTAACAAGCTACCAGCTCTCTGATGAAATTACATATAAACAGGCTTACTAAGGGAGGAAAGCACACTGAGATGAAAACATTGAGTTACATTTTTTGTAATAGTCCTTTATAATAGGGCTAATAAGGCTAATGCTGTCCTACAAAATTAGGATATTATGCTCACTTAACAGCATGGTCTCAGCCATGAGTATACATGTCAGCAAGGACACAAGATGATGAGAAAGTAATCAATAATTTCACATTTTGGGAGAAAAGGGCAAGGTTGAGAGATTAGCTAAAGCAATCATGGACAGAAGAAGAAAATAAAAGAAGGCATTATTTTAAATATAATTGGTACCACCAATGTCATTTTGAAGAAGGAAAATTTGACTTGTATCAGGTGGAATGGTTTGGAAGACCCTTGTTAAGCAAGATGACTGAATACTTTTGATAGTCAGGACATTCTCACTGGCAAGCTCTAGGAGTTACCTCATATAGTTTGGCTTGCATTTGTAGAGCCAAAACTAAAAATAGCACCTGTATCTGCTTAATACTGCTGCTATTTTCTCAGTATAAATCTATTAAACATAAACTTGGGCAACAAGAATGCAAATCATTTCTGCAGAGAAAAATATGTTTTACTCTGCAGGATAAAAACAACACACTAAAATAAAAACTACGTACATTTAAGCTTATTCAGTGGACAATGAGAATTTGCAAAACATTCTTACTTTGGAGTTGTGGGTGAAGCGGATTGTTTAGATACAGCTGCTGCAGAGTCATATTTTTTAAAAGGAGACCCAAAACCAGATGTGCCAAGTGTTGTTGATTGTTTCTTTTTCTTCTCATTCTTAAAAAAGATAATATAATTTGATAATCTGAGAAAAACAATAATTCAGTATGTATATGTAGATGCAAATACATATATAGATTCCTGTTTAAATATACGCACATAGACCTGCCTTTTGCATAAGAAAATATCACACAAGTTTGAAATTTGTATATTCACTATCCAAACTCTGAGCTTTAAGAACTTTTTATCTTACTTTCCTTTGTGCGTATAGTAACAAAATCAAGCCTGCAAGACCATTCAAGCATCCGTTAATTGAGAGGGAAGAAACCTTAAGTTTAAATACCTAAAAGCAGGGTGAAATCCAGCAGGTTCTGACAGGTTCTGGAGAACCAGTAGCGGAAATTTTGAATAGTTCAGAGAACCAGTACGGGAATTTTGAGAAGTTCAGAGAACTGGCAAATACCACCTCTGGCTGGCCCCAGAGTGGGGTGGATATGGAGATTTTGCAATATCCTTTTCCCAGGGGTGGGGAAGGAATGGGGATTTTGCAGTATCCTTCCCCTGCCATGCCCACCAAGGCACACCCACCAAGCCACACCACACCCACCAAGCCACAGAACCGGTAGTAAAAAAATTTGGATTTCACCATTGCCTGAACGTCCTTTATACTCCCAATGGGCAATCATGTATTGTGTCTTCATTCTTAATTGCTATACAGATTTTAATCAAACCAAGCCACATCAGTGAGTACCAAGTCAAGCCAAGTGTGAACTGCCAGAAGACACCCAGTTCCAGAATCCTTTCAGTTCAGTTTTCATTCCTTACCATTATCACTTCAGAAAAAACAGCTAGAGAAGGATCTACATAATGACTACAACACTTCAACAATTCCACAGACAGCTCACTAAACTACCAGTTTCTTGCTCCAATATTTGTCGGCTTTTCTTGACTAATTAGAAAAAATTCCTTAAAGAATAGTTTCCAAAGATTAAAAAACTTAAATAGATTTACTGTAAGTAAGCATAACTGCTGCGCATCAAATACAAGTCCTGTTTATAGTGAAACCAACATTTGAATTTGTACCTCTTTCTCCTACCCAAATGAAGCAATGATATTTCTCTCTTTTGAATAGTAGGGATGATTTCCACATTGTTATTTTGATAAGGAACCAATCTGGTTTTCAAGGTACTTACTTTTGATTATGTGAGATTTGCAATAGTTGTCACAGTATCAGAATTAAGTAGCACTTCAAATGAACCAGTTAGCCCAAATGATGAATCAAGTAGTCCAACAAGTGGAAAAGAATTATCATATGCAAGGCCATTTTCTAGTAGAGACCTGCTGCCAGTACAGTACAACTCCCATGCCTAACAATTTCCAACTTAGAGAAAGATGAGAGGGGTCAAAGTATTTTGCTGCCTCTTTTGCTCAATATAAACAGTGGTTTAATGTCTTAGATGTACAAACCAAGGGAAGAACAGAAAGAAAAAAAAATAGGAGCACATTTTCTTCCTTTTTGTTCATTGCAATTTATCCAGTTTTCCACTAATGGCTAAGCAGATCTATGTTAAGGCTATCATTAGATTCTGGGTTGCCTCAATAAACGGTTAGGAGACTGGACTTGATGATTCCTTTGAACTATTATGAAAATGAAATGCAAATTATTCACAGCTCATCTTGAGTAATTAAAATTACTCACACTCATCTTGCCTTTAAGTAAAACTTTCAAGATGGCTATTTACAAACCTTACATTAAACCAATGTGGTTCTACATGGAGTTGCCCTTGGAAAGCAATTGGAAATTGCAGCTGGTCCAGAATAAAGCAATATTGGCAGCTATGGGCATACCAGCCCAAGTAAAACTACTGCTTCATGAGCTGCACTGAATCCTAGTAAGCTTCTGGGTACAGTTCAATATCTGCATTATTACCTAAAAAAATTGTTCATAGGGTCTTGTTATATGAGCCATTTTGTCTTCCATAGTTTTTACTTATCCTGTATGATCAGACAGAGTTGGTGTGCTTCAGGTCCCATCTCTTAAACAATGCTATTTGATGAGACTTAAGAAACATGTTTTCTGTTACAGTGCCTGCCCTGTGGAAGAATACTCTCTCCCAGGAATTTATCTAGCTCTGAACTTGTTCAAAATATTTCCTTAAAATCTAATTTCTAGCCTAGCCTTGGACTAGAATGGATGTGGGTTCTTTGCATGGTACATGGTTTTATTTTAGAGCTTGTGGTTTTGTGACATTTTATCATACTTGGTAGATTTGCAAAAAAGCTTAAAAATGGATACAAATGCACACTTTGATAAAGAAGATTTTAAAGATCAATATTCAATTGAAACCTCTACCTGGGAATATGACTAACTGAACATACACCCAGGGAGAGATCTCCAAAGGATTTTTCCCTGGGTGTTGCTCTTCTGCCTTCTAACTGAAGGGACTGGTATCCCATCAGCTTTTATGACCCACCAGGCCAGGGTGTGACGAAGAACTTCCCCTCGGAACCCTTCAATACAGCTATAAATCGGCAGTTTTGGAGATGAACTCCAAAGCTGTCTGCATGCCAAAAGCTGGGAGGTGAGGGGCTGAAATCTGTTTGGGGGTTGAAGAAGTAGTCATTTGGAAATTCACCTTTCAAATGGACGGTAAGTTATGCCTTCCTTTTCTTAATCACCTTCAACTATTATTATTCTATCTTAAATCAACTTAAAAGAGGCTCTTTCTAGCAACAGCCTGCTATACCTTTTTGAAGACCCACGCCATTTGTGGGATTTCTTTTTAAAGAACAAGGAAGCTAAGGCAAGCCAAATAAAGAAGTGTGCTGTGAAAAAAAAAAAGCTGATGGAAAAAGATAAAGATTGAAGCCATGATTTTAATTTACTATTGTAGCAACTGCTAGCTTGATCTTCTTAGCTGTGGGTGGCTAAAATCTTCTGATTCTGACTAAAAGAGGAAGCCAAGATGGTGGACCAAAGTATTAGAGATATATTTGAAAGGTCTCTAAATAAAATACACCAATTTGTTGACCACTTGTTCTCTGATGATAAAAAAATCCTCTCAAAGTATTTCTGAGATGCAAACATGTGGAAATGTTACCAAACTGCAGAGGCAACTTCACAAGTAGCTGAAAATGCAGAATTTTGGAAGAACCGGATATTAACTTTCACTTTCACCTTCCTTACTATGGTTGAAATGCAAACCTCTCAACACAACTAAAAGAAGAGCGTCGAGAAAAAAGACAAATTTGGGCCTTTTTCTTTAAGGACATTAACAAGATTGAGGATTTTTTGATAAAAAGAAAGGCCTACAAGTCTTTAATACTTCCAGAAAAGAAAAAGATTTTACTCCATTAAGATAAGCTGGAAGGAGTGACTTAAACTTAATGAGTTAACTGGAATCAAGATGCATTTTCTTCTGCTTGATATGTGCAACTGAAAGAAAGATTTAACCCAAAATTTGAAACTGTATTTTTTTTACATATTATATAAAGCTTAAGTAACTCTTAAAGTAGGCAAAAGCTCTTGAAAATGTATTTGACAGTACCTTTATTAAGAGAAAGTTAAAGAAAATGATGTATCAGTTTAAAGAAAAACTCTGTATGTTAAAAAGGATGTTTATAAAAGAAAAAAAATATTCTATAAGGGTAGTCTGGAGGGAGAGAGCTAAATGCAATATTGAAGTTTAAAGCCTGCATATTAAGAAGTCAAAAAATAAGATGTATTAGAAAGTTTTGATTTTTTTAAAAAAGTGCTTTTGTGTGCGTGTTTTTAAAAAGTTTAGTACCTTGAAGGAAAGAGGAGGGTGAAAAAAAAAGAGAAAATGATGGGATAAAATGATATTTAACCAGGGGTGAAATCTAAAAATTTTTGCTACCGGTTCTGTGGGCATGGCTTAATTAGTGGGTGGGGCTTGGTGGTAAGGTGACTGGGAGGGCATGGCTTGTTGGTCAGGTGGGCGTGGCCAAGTCAATGTCACTTCTTTGCCCTTTTTTAACCTACAAAACACAGCACAACACAATGTAAAAGCAGCTAGACCCAAAATGGCCCCTGCAACAAGCAGGAACCTCACACAGCCACAAAAAGCCCAAAAAACCAACTTTCACACTTTACACACACAAAATTCCATGTACAGCTTTGTGAGATTTTGCGTGTTTGGGTAGTTAGAGTGAAACACTACAGAAACACACTAAATCTCAGAAAGCTGCACAAATATTATTTTATTTTAATTTATTTTTATTTTTATATAAAAGTAGCTAAATTTAAAACTTTCTAAACTTTAAATGGCTAGGTCTAAAAAAAGAACAACTAAAAAAAACCCCAATTAACTATTTTTTTAAAGCTCCCAAAGGGGAAAAAACTTACCCAATAGAACAGGGGTCTCCAACCTTGGCAACTTTAAGACTTGTAGACTTCAACTCCCAGAATTCCTCAGCCAGCTTTGCTTTGCTGGCTGAGGAATTCTGGGAGTTGAAGTCCACAACTCCCTGCCTGCTTGATTGCAGGCAGACAGATTCAGTTGCTTGCTGATGCAATGGATTGCAGCGATTACAGCAAGATGTTGCGACCAGCAGCTAAGGTAAGCAAGCTGAGAGAGGGAGGGGGAGGGATTTTTGCTACTGATTAGCAGGCAACGCAGCTGGGGTCGTCAGAGCTTGGATGGTCAGAGCCATTTAAAAGGAAAAAAGTTTTTCCTTTTACGTGGCTCTGGCGATCCAAGCTGAGTTGCCTGATTAGCAGGCAACTCAGCTGGGATCGTCAGAGCTTGGATCGTCAAGAGTCATTTAAAAGAAAAAAAAGGCTCTGATGATCGCGTGGCTCAGCTGGGCATGGGGGGTGGGGGCAGGGATTTTCGCTACCGGTTCTCCGAACTGCCCGCCGCCATTGCTACCTACTCGCCCGAGCCAGTCCGAACTGGGAGCATTTCACCCCTGTATTTAACCGTATCTGATAATAAATAGCCAAGCTAAATAGGATACCCTTATGCAGCATAATAATCAGAAGCTTTTCACTTTTATGAATGTCTAAATATCTAGTGAACAATAATTAAACAAAGCAAAACCCCTAAAATACTAACAGTTCATTTCAAATGCAAGAATGCTTAATATAAGGTTTCTTTCTTAACATCTTTGATAGTGCAAGTCAGAAGAAAAGAAAGCAGAGATTTGTATTTGTATCTTTATCCTGGGGAAGCAAAATATAAACCAACATATAAGTTATTTTAAAAAAAGATGTGTTAGTAATTTCCAAACCTACCTGTGAGACTTCACTTGTACTTGCTTCCTTCACTGAATCTGACATGGAAGCAGATGCTGCTTTCTTTTTCTCCATACTTCGAGTGGGGGAAGGCTTGTAAGAAGTTTTAAGAGATCTGGCTGGTGCTACACGAGGACAGATATGGAATACTAAAGAGTTATAGTACAATAGCAAGTTCATTAGGAGACATAGACAAAGAAAGCAAGAAGAAAAAAAGGAAAGAAACAGCCCCATTTTATTAGAAACAACCAAACACATACTTTCCCAAAACATTAATGAATTGTCTTCCCATTTTAAACAGCCATAACATTTTTGCTCAAAAAATTTAACATGAAGCGTACAAGCACTTTATTTGCAAGTAAGATTGCAAATAAGATTGGGACATTCAAAATTCTTCATTTTCTAATAAATGACTGCTATGGGTTAGAAAAGTCAGATACACATATAATATAACAACCTAAAAAAATGAATAGACATATAAGATTGAAAACAGATATATTATCCCCAGTATAATTTTAATTATGAAAATTTCACTGGCTAGATGAATCATTTTAAGTCCTTCATTTAGTGTTAACATGGTGAATCCTATGTATCTTGAACTCCCTGTGTATTTTATGAATAATTTTCTAGACTCTTTAAATTTACTATTTTATGGGAAAATTTGTTTTAAGTAGCTAAAATATTCCTGAAAATATTAGCTTTACCTGAATCAGTATACCTCTCAGAAAGCATTAAAGTACTTCTGTTTCTGGCTAAAGAAGCTTGTGTGGGAGTCAATAGTCGAGAAATGATAAAAGTTTCCATTGGAGTAAGGTGCATGCGATGAGCTGAAGGATGGGAGCAAATGAAAAAAATAAAAAATAACCATTTTTTAAATGTGCAACTAAACATAAAAACAAAAAAGATATACAAAAGAAATAAACAATTACAACAAAAAATAAAGCTAAACATAGTTTAAAGTTCAAAACCTTTGATTTAATTCTTCCACAAACAACTTTTCATTGTGTAACCCATGTTAGATCTTGGTCAATCAAATACATATATTAAATTACTGCATTAGCATCTATTAGAATTAGACATAAAATGGCAAAACACGTTATTATTAAAAAGGATTCTTAGTTTCTTCCTGAATTGAATTTATGAAGCAATAATCAAAAGTATAATTTTATGGTCAGCCTAATATTGTTCTTACCTACATTAAATCTTCTATCATCTTTGATATTTGAAATTTGAGTCTATATATTGATCGATATACTCGTGTGATATTCTAAGCACAGGTGATCAGGAAGGAGCATGAGAGAGCTATTTTGTTTGGGCTTTAAATTCAAATTTAAGAATCTGCTTATTTAGTACAAAATATTCAAGTTATGTTTTGTTCAATTTTTATATTCTGCCATTTTTTATTAGTGGTCTCAAAATCTACAGAATTCTTCTTTGTAAATGTTGCCATTGGCCTGGTAACAGCAAGTATGATATATATATGTATGTATGTATGTATGTATGTATGTATGTATGTATATATATATGTATGTATGTATGTATGTATGTATGTATGTATGTATATATATATTATGTTTTTCTTCTAGCCAGGTTTTCCCTACGTAGCCAAGGTTTTTTTGTTAGCTCCAGCTCAGTAGAATCTCATCTACTCGGTTCTGGGCTTTTTTCTTTTCTAACACCTAGGTGTTAAAGAAAAAAAAAAAAGCCCAGAACCGAGTAGATGAGATTCTACTGAGCTGGAGCTACAAAAAAACCTTGGCTACGTAGGGAAAACCTGGCTAGAAGAAAAACACACATAAACCCTACGAAGAAGTAAGAAAATATATATATGTGTGTGTGTGTGTGTGTGTGTGTGTGTGTGTGTGTGTATGTGTATGTGTATATATATATATATGTGTGTGTGTGTGTGTGTGTATGTGTACAGTTAATATCTCGGGTTTCTTCCCGTGTAATTGTAAACATATTCCTAAAAGGGTAGTAGCGACGTTTCGACGAAATCACATTCGTCATCTTCTGGCTAAAGTTCTCGGTTTGGTGCTTATGGGCAAACTGTGTGAACGTAACTGACGTTTTTCTATGAAAAGAGGCAAAGGTGCATTCTGATTGGTCAACAGTGCCATTGTATTCTGATTGGCTGATGACGAAGCTGTATTTTGATTGGGTGGAAGTGCTGATGCTTGGTTGTGGGTTAATGGATAAGTTATGCTGGAAATGGTGGCAACACAGGCATTATGATGAATCTTTGATCTATGATTTAGATTTTGTGTTAAGATTCATTTGTCTATGAGAGCAGGTTTCCAAATAGTAGGCAGACAGGAAGTGTCATCACGTTTATTCATACAATATGGTCTTTTCTCTATTTCAATGGCCTCTCTGATTATTCTGCCATTGAGATGTTCTATTTTTGCAACTGTTTTTGTGTTATTAAAATTAATATTATGTCCTGTGGCATTTATGTGTTGTACTAATTATGATGTGTGTTCTTTCTTTTGTACTGAATTTTTATGTTCCTCGATGCGCACACTCATTCTTCTGTTGGTCTGTCCAATATATGTTGAGGGGCAGGAAGCACACGGGATTTCGTATATGCCTTGATCTTCTAATTCTATTTTGTCTTTAGGGTTTCTCAGAATAGATGATATCTTTCTATCTGTGCAAAATATAGTTTTGATGTTGTGTCTATGTAGTATTTTGCTAATTTTATCCGTTGTTCCTTTTATATAGGGCAAGATGGCTTTCCCATTGTTTTGTTCCTCTTGTTGATTTCTCTTCTGTCTGGGTGTTACATGCTGGATCATACTGATGATTTTATTTCTACAGAACCCATTTGATGTCAGTATGTTCGTTAATGTATATAATTCTGTTTGTAAATGTGCTTCATCAGCCAGACGTTTAGTTCTTGTGGTTAATGTTTTGGCAACAGAGTTTATTTGTGCTGGATGGTGATGTGATTTAGCGTTGAGATAACGGTTTGTATGTGTCTTCTTTTTATAGGTGGTATGTCCTAAGGTGCCATCAGATTTTTTATAAATTAATACATCAAGGAAAGGCAACTGATTTTCTGATTCTATCTCCATGGTGAACTTTATTTTGGGATGGAGGCTGTTCAAATATACTAAGAAGTTTTCCAGTTTATCTCTTCCATGCGGCCAGATCACAAAAGTGTCATCAACATATCTAAGCCACAATTTTGGCTTGTTAACAGTTTTTTCTAAGGCATTGGTTTTGAATTCTTCCATGAAAAGATTAGCAATAACAGGTGATAATGGTGATCCATTGGTGCACCTTCTATTTGTTTATATCTCTGTCCTCTGTGTATGAAATATATGTTGGATAAACAATGTTCTGTTAAATCTGTGATATGTTTTGGTAGTTGATATTTGTTTTTAATTGATGACAGGGCTTCTTTGACAGTTATTTGCGTGAATAGTGATACAACATCGAAGCTTACAAGTAAGTCATTTTCTTTTATGTGTTGCTTTTTCATTATTTGTATGAAATGGTATGAGTTCTGTACATATGAAGCAGCAGATTCTGCATAAGGTTGTAGATGTTTTGCTAGGTATTTGGCTAGATTTTGTAATGGTGAGCCTATGGAACTTACTATGGGTCTAAGAGGTATTCCATCTTTGTGTATTTTTGGGAGACCATACAGTTTTGGACATTTTGATGACTTTTCTCTGGGGATAATTGTTTGTTGGATTTCTTTACTTATAGTACTTGATTTTATCTTTATCCTCGTGGTTTTTTCTAGATATGTTGTTGGGTCTGTGTTTATGGGTTTATATGTGGCATCTTGAAGTAAGTTAGACAGTTTCTTTTCATAGTCTACTGTGTTCATTACTACCGTTGCATTGCCTTTATCTGCTGGTAATATCATTATGCTATTATCGTTTTTTAAAACTTGTAGTGCTTTTTGTTCTTCTTTTGATAAGTTGCTTTTAGGTGGTTTACTAGTGCGTAAAATGTTGGTGACATCATGTCTAACTTTATCAGCATCATCAGCACTGAGTTTCTTTAAGCTGGTTTCAACTTCACATATGATGGTTTCTATAGGGATTTTTTTAGGTGCCACTGCAAAGTTAAAGCCCTTTGCTAAGACATTTGTTTCTGCTGTTGTCAGTTCCCTATTGGAAACATTGTATACCACTTGTTTTAAATGATTCTGTGCTGTGGTTGGAGGTTTTTTATGTTCTAATTTTTTAAGTTTCTTTAAATGTCTGTAAGTTTTATGAGTGTTTTCTATTTCAGATCTCCAGATGGTAAGCTGTTTTATTTTGTCCCATAATATGGGGTGAATAATATTGCTTATCTTCAAGTATAAAGTTAACAGATCTTTGTTTACTTGATCCAATAGGAATCTTTTGCTATGAATTTCATTTCTAAGTAATGCCATTTCAGTTTTTCTCAGAATGAGTTGGATAGATGTTGTGTAGGTATGGAATTTCAATTTAAAGCAAGTAGGTATTATATTTTGGTCACGACAGTGACATAAAAATGTTAAATCACACAGTATTCGAGTTCTTTTTATCTCTAACTTCTCATAAGATCTGGTAAGTTTATGCATCTCCTCCCCGTAGAGGTGTGATATTTGTTTATGTAAGTTTTCACGGGTATATATGTGTGTACAGTTAATATCTCGGGTTTCTTCCCGTGTAATTGTAAACATATCCCTAAAAGGGTAGTAGCGATGTTTCGACGAAATCACATTCGTCATCTTCTGGCTAAAGTTCTTGGTTTGGTGCTTATGGGCAAACTGTGTGAACGTAACTGACGTTTTTCTATGAATATATATATAAATATATATATTTGCTTATGGGCAAACTGTGTGAACGTAACTGACGTTTTTCTATGAATATATATATATGTTTTTTTTTCTTCTACCCAGGTTTTTCCTACGTAACCAAGGTTTTTCTGCAGCCCTAACTCAGTAGAATCATATCCACTCGATTCTGGGATTTTTTCCTTTCTAACAGCCAGCAAGTTCTTCCTGCTAGGTGGGAGACTTATATAGATCTATTTCCAGCTCATTTGCTTTCATCAGTAAGCCACACCCACATCTTATGTATCCTCCCTGTAAAGGTATAGTATCTATTTTCTTACTTCTTCGTAGAGTTTATGTGTGTTTTTCTTCTAGCCAGGTTTTCCCTACGTAACCAAGGTTTTGACTAAAGCTTCATGCTTATGCGAGCAAAGCGTGATCGGAGATGCCGTCTCTCTATAAATATTGGTGGGGAGGTGTGGAGTGCTGGCTTTCTTGTTGTAAGCGGGTTGGTTGGCTGTGTTGTTACATCTTGATTAGTTGATGGAGTTGATGTTTGCAGATTAGTTGGCTGTTTCGTAACATCCTGTGTAGTGGAGGTCGCAGCTGTGTGCCCATTAGTCTTTTGTGTTGTAACGACCTGGGTAATGGGTTGTATGGTAGCAACCTAAGCTCTAGTGTTGTGACATCCTGAGTCCTGTGCTGCAACATCTTGGGTAGTTGGCTGTGTTGTAACATCCTTACCTTTAGTGTTGTAACATCCTGAGTTCTGTGATGTATTGTCTTGAGCAGATGGCTGTGATGCAACATCCCAGGCTTTGGTTTGCCTCCGAGTCTGAGATCTTGTCACGTGCTCATGGCGTGTGTTAGTTTGCTTTGTGTGGGGATCGGGGGGGTGCAACAGCTGGCGATGCCGTCGTGGTCCGGCCCCTGGACAGTGGTTGTATTTCATCTATGGGATGGGATTGGGTTTGAATCTGGTGAGGATGATTGGTGGTGGTGTCATGTGTTATCCTGGGTCTGGTGTCAATGTTTGTGGCTGGGGCTCGTTTGTTGACTAGGGCT